CTCTTTAAATAATCATGAACATGAACAATAAAGGAAGCAAGTTTTAAACCAGTAGAAATTCTTACTGTTCTTGTTTAAAAGCAATCTCCCTTACCATTTTTTCATTACCACTCCCTCTCATTCTTAATATTAGATTGTGGGGCTAAATTTCAATATTTATGCAGAAACACTTGATATTAAATATTACACTCTTGTACTTGGTAGACGACATTGTGTTTTCCCTAGTAGTTTAAGTATTGTGTTTTCAAATTTGTTTTAAAGCATTTGTGCACCTTGAAACATGTTAGCTAATTGGGTTAACAATTCTTAGTTGTCAAGAACAATTTTTGATGTGGCCCTCTTCCTATTCAATGTGTGATTATTTCAAGACTGCTTAGAGAGCAGAAGTAGACAGTCCTCCATCAGGAGCACTATGAGAGAGATCTGATCTTTTAAGAGATAGTTAATTGCACACACATGCAATACCCAAGGTGCAATGAAAAGATAAGACAGCCTTTAAAGGCTGCAAGGTGCATGAGTTCTTTTTAGGTTCTGTCATGATTATATTGCCACTTCTGCTTTCACTGGTGCCTTCAAGCATTTTATTCTTTTGTTTCTGCATCAGTAGGTGTTTTTATAGATCTCTGTGGAGTTTCCTTGGGATACACTATCTTCTGGTTCTCAATGTAAATAGACTTCGAATAAAATAAACCCAACAGTGTTATCTGTGAGCAGCTGCTTAATAAGAATCTGTGATAATCTTATTGCAATGGGAATTGAAATGTATTTATATTTATAATGTAAGCTCTTCCTTGTTACCTAAGTAAACTTCATAAATTCTTACTTATTATCAGTGTAAGATAGTCTAAAAGTTTTCTTGAACTCAATCTCTTTCTTCCTGCTGATATTTGACATAAACCATGTAATGACTATAATATTAAAATCTGCAAACTCAATTCTCTCTTTTTTGAACAAAGTAATAGACAAAATTCATCCAAATGTAAGCCAGGAAATTAAAAAGATGCAATGATACAATGGAATGTAACTAATTGTTCCATTTTATTAGTAAAAGTGTGAAGTTTGTATAAATATAACATGTAAAAGGATGTATATACACATGTGATATTCCTTGTATCTAGTGAGCAACATCAAAGTAAGAATTGTCTTACTTTTTTTTTTTGTACCACGGATTGAATTTAGGGGTACTCGACCACTGAGCCACATCCCCAGCCCTATTTTGTATTTTATTTAGAGACAGTGCCTCACTGAGTGGTTCAAAGCTTGTCCATTGCTAAGGCTGGCTTCAAACTTGCCATCCTCCTGTCTCAGCCTCCTGAGCCACTGGGATTATAGGCATGTGCCACTGCAGCAGTCCGGCTGGCTGCAGCAAAATAACCGGGGGGTGACGAATAACTTGTGTACGTTGATACAGCAGGAGTGGAAGCCGTTTATTCCAGGACAGGAGCAGTATTTATACATTCCACACAGCTTATCTAATTAGCATAAACTAGATACATCAGTCAACCAATAAGGAATCTCCACACTTAATGGCTCGCTTTTGTTACTTCTCAAACCACTCCCTCTGGCATTTTACCAGGCACCATCCAGACTTGTTTACGAACTTTAACATTCCCCTGGCAAAATGCCAGGTGTTATTTTGACTTGTTTACAGACTCTAACATGCCACTAGCCTAGAATTATCTTACTTTTCTAATGAATAAATTATACATTTGAGAAAACTCCCATCCATATTTCTATATGTCAACTAGTAATTTTAAAATTAACTTTTCAGAAAACTATTGTCATAGATGAACAATCTCTGTAGTAGTGTCAACACTATTAAAAAAAAATGTATACAAAAGTTGATATTCAAAGAGATGACCACAGTAGAAAAATTTTACTTTTCCTAAAGAATAAAAACACATTCCCTGCACCCTTTGGAAGTACATTTTTGTTCTTTACAAAGTAGAAAAAGAACATTTGATTTATGGCTTCATAAATAAGATACCATTATTCTTATTTTTAAAGGCATTTACACATTTTGAGTAGAAATAAAATACTTTATTTTCATATTGAAGTCGAACATTATTTCTGAAAAGGTGCTTTATACATATCTCAAAAGGCAAAGAATATTTAGTAAGAAGAAATACAATTTATACCTATGATATTCTAAAATTATCCCTCAAAGCAATGTCAAAATCTTATGTGTATTTACATTTAGTTACAGTCCCAAATTATATGTATTATTTATATATAATCATAAATATATATATATATATATATATATATATATATAACATGTTAGAGATATAAATATTTGCATTATGTAATAGTTTACAAAGTTAACATTATACTGTGAGTTCTTATTGTAATTTAATAGATATCTGTTATTTAAATTAATAAAATATGTTACTGGCACCTTCTTATGTATTCAGTAAGTGCATAAAAACCAAGTCTTAGATAATCAGAAGTAATTTCAACTGGCTTAAGAGAAAAGCATGTTTTGTCTTTATCTTGGAGTACCTGTGAAACAAACATCTGTCTGTTGTACCATAAATTAACTGGAATTATTTTCTTGATTTTGTTTCTGATTTTATTCATTTATTCAGTACATATTATTGAACCTGTTCTATGTATTTGGTATGTACAAGTATTTTTGAGTGCCAGTTTTACAAGTTTGATATAAAATATTTTGATTTTATTTCAAGTATAAAAGAGTAACTTCTAGTAGCTCCAATCTGATTAATCAGTATAATTTCATAATTAATGTTAAGGATAGAAAACATTAAGGTACCAAGAAATTTTCCTGAATTCTGTTGGTGAATTCTGAATATGTACAAGACACTTATCTTTTGAATCTCAAACTTAATGGCATGTAATTTGCTCTTGAGAGTCTAATATACAGATAGATTTATTTGCTGTCTTCAAGGTGAAAATATGGATTACTATTTTATTTAGGTACAATGGGAAAAGAAAATAAATGCCAAGATGTGTAAAATAATTCTAAAGTTTTATACATATTCCTATGTTTTTTTATTGAAAAGTGTCTTAGGTTTTGTGATTCCCAAATTGAATACTTGGTCAGTCTCTAAGAAAGCATCACTAGATTTGTGAATATATATTTTTTCTTTAGGAAATTAAAAGTAGGATTAAAACATCATTTAGTATTGTATATTGACAAATGTAAAACATCCATTGGTTGTACATTCTGTGTTGAAGGAACCGCTGAGCTACAGCCAGTCTATCCATTAGGTTAAGTCTTGAAATACTCCAGAAAGACTGTTTCCTTATATATTATAAGTCCTTGATAGAATTTTATAAAGAAACAATGAGAGTAAGAGTATTACAAATAAAGTATAACATATTTATTTTCAATGTAGAAATGATCAGTTACAATGTTAGTTATAGTATTTATAGTAAGCCTCTTTTCCACTTACCATTTGATTATGCTGTTTGTAAGGGAGAAAAAATCAAATTTTAAACCTCTTTCATGGTAAACAAAATTATCTGTTTTAATTAAAAATTTTAAGCATATTTTTCATATTTCATTCTGTGTAGGCTAATAATTGTTTTGCATAAGAGAAGCTGTCTGAACCTTAATCTCTAAAATCCAGGTTATATCTTGTGACTAAAAGTCAGAAGAACTGGATCGAAAAATCTAGAATGGTTGTGTTATTCATTCAAGATGTAAACTTGGCAAATCACTTGCCCCTCCTGTCTCTTGTTATTCCCATCAATAGAATGTATCCATTGACCTACTTTAAAGGTTTTCACTCTTTAGCTGCAGAAGCCTCTTGCAGACATAGCCTAATATATAATCACCACATGAATAAAAATAATAGTAAAATAGAGTTTTTTTTATAGAAGCAATAATGAGGAAGGAGGAAGCAGTGTGCATGTGTGGACAGAGGACCCTAGAGCCCTCACCTGGTCCTTACCTTCCCTCACAACCTGTTGAAGACAGTTGAGGGTCATCGAAGAATTTCTCAAGTTCATGGAATGAATATGATCTCTACATTTTTCAAATGTAGTTCTAATTTCATAAATTGGAATTTGTCTGTTAAAGCTTTGAAAATCTTATTATTTACCTTAGAAAAAGAAATAGTATTAAAAATACAAGCTTTCTCTCTCTCTTTTCTAAGAAGGATTCCCAGGTACAAATCTAATATGTCATATTAAAGGCATGGACTTAAGTATTCCCTAAAAATAACTCTATAATACCAAATAGTTCATATTTAGAAAATGAATATATAAAACCCCTAATTACCCCTTAACAAAACATCAGAAAATTGAAAAAGTTCTTTCAGTTGAATTTAAATTTCCTTATTCATGTCTATACTTGACTAGAGAAGTAAGAAAATTTGATTTTTCTTTTTTTCTTTTTTTTTTTTTTTTTTTTTGGTAAATTTAAACCCTGAATGTGATTAAATGAGGATTTTTTTTCAATTCTCAGCTTTGGTGACCAGAAAGGCAACACTTTAAATTTTGTCAGCAGGTACAGTACACAACTATTAGACCCTTGCAGTCACAACCATAACAATAAAAAATTAGGCGAAAGAGAGTATGTTCTACAAAGTAGTTAATTGCCCAAGAAAAGTAAAGTCTGCTGGAGAAGCAGGTTTTTACCAGGGGCCATTTTCTTTGCCAGTTACTAGAATGGATTTGATGGTTGTGAAGCAGGAGTAATAGGTTTTCGCTGTGACTAATTTCTGATGTCCTTTATGAGCCAGGATTTCTAACTACCTAAAGTGAAGGAAATGAATAAAAGCAAACTTTCAGTAATCCCAAAAGGACCCAAAGTAAAATTGCCCCAGCAGTTACCTTATATAGGCACCGTGACACAGTTCCCTTTTGTAAAAATACTTGGTAAAGATTATTCCGTTCTGACAGGCTCCTATAGAGACCTACTTTATTACACTTCAGGGAAGTTAATGTACTAGGTCTTGAGGAATCTGTCTGGAAGGTGAAGTGACTTGTCGTTTTCTTTTAGTGGCACTGTTAACTCTTGCGTTGTTTTTTAGGTCCATGGGGCCGATGCATGGGAGACGAATGTGGTCCAGGAGGCATCCAAACCAGGGCTGTGTGGTGTGCTCATGTGGAGGGCTGGACGACTTTGCATAGCAACTGTAAGCAGGCTGGAAGACCCAGTAACCAGCAAAATTGTTTCAAAGTGTGTGACTGGCACAAAGAGTTGTACGACTGGAGGCTGGGACCCTGGAATCAGTGTCAGCCAGTGATTTCAAAAAGCCTAGAGAAACCCCTGGAGTGTATCAAGGGAGAAGAAGGCATTCAGGTGAGAGAGATAACGTGCATCCAGAAAGACAAAGACATGCCTGCCGAGGACATCATCTGTGAGTACTTTGAGCCCAAGCCTCTCCTGGAACAGGCTTGCCTCATTCCTTGCCAGCAAGATTGCATCGTGTCTGAGTTCTCCCCGTGGTCCGAGTGCTCCAAAACCTGTGGAAGCGGACTCCAGCATCGGACACGGCATGTTGTGGCGCCCCCGCAGTTTGGAGGCTCTGGCTGTCCAAACCTGACCGAATTCCAGGTGTGCCAGTCCAGCCCCTGCGAGGCGGAGGAGAGCATGTACAGCTTGCAGGTGGGGCCCTGGAGTTCGTGCTCCATGCCACACTCCAGGCAAGTGAGGCAGGCAAGGAGGCGCGGAAAGAATAAAGATCGGGAAAAGGACCGAGGCAAAGGAGTCAAGGATCCAGAGGCCCGGGAACTTATCAAGAAAAAGAGAAATAGGAACAGACAGAACCGACAAGAGAACAAGTACTGGGACATCCAGATTGGATATCAGACCAGGGGGGTCATGTGCACCAACAAGACCGGGAAAACTGCTGATTTGAGGTAACATTTTGTTATTGTTAACCACACGTGTCTATCTGTCAAGACCACTGTTTAAAACTAACTTCTGGAATACACACCTATACACACCTGCACAACCAAGTGTGAGCGACCCCTCAGCTTAAGGCTTTTGATCTGTTTCTGTGGGATTCTCCACGTTTCTATTTTGCTCATGTTAAAGGTCCTAAACTGCTTGAGTGCATTCAAACTTTCCTTTCAAAAGTCTAGCACATGAGCAACTCCCCAGGAGAAGACACTGCTTAGTTAGGTCAATAGTGCTGTTTCTCTCTATGATCAAAGAAAACAAATTTACATAAAGACTGGAGTATAGGGATTTTAAATTTAGATACTTATGTTTGTGTGTTATTAGAACAAGGCACACTTATAATCTCTTCAAGTTTATAGCATTTTCAAAATTACCCTATAAACAAAATCTGCTCTTAACAATGACCTAGGGAGCTATACCTAAGTATAATTTTCTTGCACATTTTATAAAATGGGGTAACCCTCTCCAGAGAAGAAAACAGGAATCAGCAGGAAATAAGGTAAGTAAAAGGTGTTTAATCATGAGTGGCCTAGCTTAGAAAACATAATTAATTGGCTGTGTTTCTTAGGTGGAAATTATTTGGCAAATTATCTTTGGGTACATAATGAGTAGATTATGAAAGACTACCTCATTTATGATTTATTTGCTGTGAAAATAAGATTCATTGAGGATTATCTAAAGGATATGATGTTCTCTGGACATTCTCAATTTTGCTCTTGGATAAACCAGACCATCTGGGAGTGGCATATCTGGATCATTTGCATAATTGCTTTTACTGAAATATTTATGAAGTTATGATTTGGACTGAACTGAAGAAATTATAGTATCATTACTCAGAATTTTATATCATATTTATTGTAAAAATGACATTGAGAGTGTCATCCACTTTATCACACAGTCTGTTCTCTTGATTAAAAGCATAAGATAAATTTCACTGAAGTCTCAACCCATATGCTTCTGGTGAGCAGCTGGATTGTTTCTCTCATGTCCCGTGGAAACAGATCACATTTTCCTGTTTACTCTGGCTGTTGGGAAGCTGAAGAGGATTGTGTGGCATGTTATGTTGTTTACCAGCCTTTCCCACTAGCTTTATCATTTCTCTCACCCTCAGTTTTTTTTTCCTTTACCCATTCTTGCCTTAGTGATTTTGCTATGTATGGATTTTGAAATATGGAGGAAATCCTTTTTGGAAGAGGATGTAGTTTAAATAAACGAGTAAATAAAACAAGTGGATTAATGTAAGATCAAACTCTTTCTCATAATAGCCTGGTTCTAGCTGCTCCTTTTAGGATATTTGCCTTTTTTGTATTCATACAGTTGTGCTTCTTTTCCAGCAGTAGAGTACTTTGCTCTTTCTCCATTTTGGTTTCCTCATTCCACTGCCCTGGCCTTGCTAGTGGCTGTTTTTCCTGCCTTCATTCTTCAGGTTTTCACAAACTCTTGAAGGGGTGTGTGTGTGTGTGTGTGTGTGTGTGTGTGTGATGGGCATTTTCTGTGCAAGCCTGGTTTTGCTCTTTTCTATTTTTATTCCAGAGATTTTTCTGATTTTTTTTTCCTGGGGTTATTACAGTTATATTAGTTACTTGGCTCCTGTCAAGTAATGGAATGAGCCTCCAAGGCAACTTGAGTTGTCTCCTGCTGCCACTGAGTTAGCATGCTGTAGACATGTAATTTAATGTTGACTACTCAATTAAAAGTGTAATTAGGACAGTTAGCTACCATTGCATAGAGCCTAATATTCCCACCCAGTTGTTTGAATTAAGCAAATAAACTTAAAAATGTGCAAATTATTTGTCAGGAGCTTACATCTTATTAGAAATATTGTATGAAACTGTAACTCTAAAATGATAGTTACATATGTTCTTGACATATTAGGGTATGAATTAAACTTTATGTTAAACAATTAAATTGATTATTACAATTTTTCTTTACTATGAATTATCATGTATGATCAAGAAAGTTAAAGCCCTAGTGAGAACGTGACAAAAACCAGGCATTTGGGCCTATATTTTACTCAAAATTACAGTATAATATCATGAAGCCAATAAAGTGAAGAGTAAGACAGTAACGTCACCAAAGCACAGGACCACAAGTCAAGGATTTAATAATTAAAGCATTTGACATTCCATCACATTCAGAAACACTTTTATCATGTAAGAGTATAAAAAAAAGTCATTCAACAAGGTTTAAAATGTCCTCTTATAATAACTAAATGAATTTAACCAGATAAACCTAAGGATCTTGGGGAAGCTGTCATAAGTAAATAAAGAATTGCTGCTAAAATGCCCAAACTGAAGAAGATAAATCTGCCCTATTTCCTGCTGTCGAACAGACTGAAATCTGTAAGAATAAAAAGCGCAAATGAAAGCCCATTCTTTTATGACAATAGGAAACAGTCACAGAAACAAACCACCATTGATACAGAAGATTTGGCAGCATGGTAAAATGAGATCTAACTGAGGGAAGAAACTTAGGGGGGCATTATGTCTTGCCAGCTTTTGTGAACATTCAAAATCAAGTCAGTGCCATCTCCTTAATGGGACAGGGAAAGGGGCTGCTGAAACACCCTTGAGTCTGATTATGAGCAGAATGGTGAGTAGGCAGGACTGAACTAGAAAGCCCACCATGAATCATTACCAACTGAAGACTAGCAGCTTGCAGACTGAGGGTTTAATGTTTCCACAAGGAATGGAAGAGAATTCTGAATCACTAAACACATATCTGGACACTAGCAGCTTCCTGAGAACCAATGACTTCTAGCTAGGCTTGACTGGATCCTTACCCAGGCCAAGAGTTGATATGAAAGTGTTTCTCTGGGAAACCAAAGACATTAGGTGAAATGTGGTTTTCTGAACCCAAAGCAGAAAGATTTGAGACTGAGCTAGAAAGCCCACACTGAATCACTGCCCTTTATTCAAACAGAGATAAAGGGCTGGGGAAGTAACTCAGTGGCACAGCACTTGACTAGTACGAGTGAGGTCCTGGGTTCACTCCCCAGCACCACACACACACACACACACACACACACGCAAAGAAGATAAGAAAATAGAAAGAACTTAAAATAATTTTGTAGAACCGAGAAAAGAAATAGAGAAGAATTATAAAATAAGAACAGAAATGAAATTCACACAAGAAACAAACAAACAAACAGAAAACTAGTGGTAAGAAGAACCAGTGGTATGAAGAACACTTTGAGAACACAAAGTAAACTATCGTAAAGAATAAGTGCATGTTGAAGATTATCGTAAAAATACCTTGAAGATTATTGTAAAAAAAAATCTGGTGTGCCTGGAAATAGAAAGAAAAATTAGGACAGGACAAAACTTATTAACAAAAGACTTTGCAGAAATTAAGGAAGACTTTCATTCATGCATTAAACTTGCACAGGCCCCAAATTCCACTTAGAAGAAGTTAAAATAATGGCCTGATGGATAATCTGATGTAAATCAATTTTGTGCGTTCCCTTTGGCAGTGATTCCTCTCCTAGGAATTACTTCTAAAATATATATGTAAATATACAAATACATGTACAACTCTCATTGTAACATGTTATAGAAAGACAGCCTGAATTTTATCAATAAAGGACTTGTTGAATCATGGAGCTTCCATATGTGGAGTATCATATAGGTATTACCAAATGAAGTTTGTGATTAAACATGAGGGAATAAATGAAGTTTTATGCCCCTCTTCTATGCTGAAATCAGCCAGAAAAACCAATAAGGAGATAAACATCTACCGCTCAAAAAAAGAAAAAAAAAAGGAGGAGGAGGAGAAAAATGGAGAAATGAGTGGAGAAAAAAGGAAATGGAGTGTCTTTATGATAAATCAGGATCCTTCTTCAGGATAAACCCTGAAATCTACAGGATGGACAAGCAGGACCTAGAATATGAAAGCATGAAATGGACTTCCCTGAAGTAAACAGTACTCAGTCCTGTGAGCCCTATCCAAGGTCTTTCTAGTGGGTGATCTCAATAGGGAGGGGGCATGGATGAGCCAGAGAGGATGTGAGGAGGGTCCTTAGGAACCAACTCCCATCACTGACTCACAGGGGAAGTGTAGCTATTGGAGAATTAAGGGAAATGTTATTCCCTAGTCTCTTGACTGAGAGAAGCTGTTGGAAGTGAAGTGGAGGATGGGCAAAAGGAGGCAGCTATCTCCAGATCATAGCCAGCATAATCCTTGATTTAAAGCATTGCTGTGAGCCATCCCCACCTCTACAATGCTTTAGCTGTCCCATTTCACCTCTAGAATATGCACATAGAAGGCACAATGTGTTTTAGGAAAGAGTCTGAAATCTGCTCAAGCACAAAGGCATTTAGTGGAGAGTAGTGCCTACTCTTGAAAATGTATTCCATTTGAATGCACTTTATTTTGTCACATTGTCTGACAAAGACAATTAATTGTAATTACAAGTCCAATGGAAACACTGCCCAGAAGTGTGGGAAATTCAGTAAATTCCTGAGGGAATAAAACAGAATTAGAATCTTAAAAAGATTTTTGTGGACTAATCCAAAAGCAGGAGGTCTATGCAGATTCTAAATAAATGCATACAGCAAACACTCAGGCACAAATAAAGAGGGGTGAAAAGTGAAGAACAAAATAATCTAATCACCCCTAGAAATACTGACACAATTCCTCGTTATTTTTCATTTGCCTTATCAATTTCATTTTTTTTCTTTTAAGTACCTATATAATTCCAGCCAGAGCATTTCAGATAGTTATGAATGATGCTTCTTAGGTGGCTTTCTGATTATTCTTTCTAGCTCCGATATTCTTGACACACCTTTTCTCATCTTCAAAATTAAAAATTGTTGACCAGAAAATTACATTTCTTCTCAAGACAGTCAACCTCTTTCTGTTTGATTTCTATTTCACCTTAGAACACCAGTTGTTAACTGATCCAAGTTTCTGTTTTAGCATTGCTTTCTAGAATTGTGGTATAAAACTATTGGCACTG